TGCAAATTTATCGAATTTTCCTGAGTTTTGCACAAAGTTTAGAGATTTTATATTTAGGTTTATGGTGAAGTGTGAACTACATACAGTCAGTCAGTCAATAAAGTTTAGGTACAGCGAATTTTTTACAATACGGGCAACTATTTTTTAAATATATTATTTTTCGCTAATTTTTTATAAAAATATGGTCAATTCTACAACAAAAAACCCAAAAATCAGGATTCCAAACCTTGTGCAAAATTAAAGACAATTCCCCAAAATTTCACTCAAATATTGGACTTTTTATTTACGCTTTCTAGAAAGAAGTTGAGTATGCAGTTTTTTAGCCCATTAAATTTTAGTATAACAAAGTGCAAGTTTGCGGTGGCTAGGACTTACCATTGATTTTTAGGAATTTTTATTATTGAAGGTGTCGCTCATTTTCTCCATATAAAATAATGTTTGATAATTTTTTTATATGTAAAAAATGTGCGACACCTTCAACAAAAAAATTTCCCAAAAATCAATGGTAAGTCCTAGCTTCCTCATACTTGCACTTTATTATATTAAAATTTAATGGGCTAAAAAACTGCATACTCAAATTTTATCTAGAGACCGTAAATAAAAAGTGCAATATTTGAATGAAATTTTGGGGAATTGTCTTTAATTTTGCACAAGGTATAAAACTTTAAACCAAAAATTTCTCTCGAAATTGTAATTAAAAAGCTTGAAATTTTGATGGAGCTTTGTTAAATTTTTATTATTTTTTGTACAAAGTTTGAAACTTGGATTTATGTTTGTATGTATGTATGTTTGTGAAAGAATAAACCAGATATAAATTTTATAAAAAAAATAAAACATTAAAAGACAAAAGAATAAGTGATCAAAACTTGTCGATATGTGGTGCTCGTATAGCTATGAAACGCTTTGTAGGTTATAAATTTATAAATTCGAGTTTTCGTACTCAGTTATTTCTTCGTTAATAACTGTCATTATTCGAATTTTTAATTTTCTAAAGAGAGGGGCTGGCAAGTTTTCCAATTCCATTGCAACGCTCTCGCCAAACACTTGTGACGCGCTCTTCTTTTGATCCTGCTGCTCAACGTATCTTCTTTTTATGCTCAACTCTTCCTTCTTTAAAGCGATTATTTCTGAAATTAAAGGCATGTTTATTTTTTGTTTAAAGCTGAGTTCTGAAAATTTAAATTTTAATTATTTTCTTTACCTTTCACGTTGGTCGTACTTTTTTTGGAACTGCACGGCACTTCCTCATTACTTGTCTCTTCCAACGCCTCAGAAGTTTGAGCTTGCCAAAGGCTTGTGGATCTACACAATTAATAAAAATACTTATACTCTATATATCGATGGCTGAGTGGAAGATCGACCTATCTCGGCAGCCAGTTCAAAAACGCTCTATCTTAAAAAACTTTTCAAGAATGCCCTATTTCAGAATTCGTTTCAAAAACGCCCTATCTTAACGAACTTCCACTCAGCCGTCGATATTTAATCATGTAAGGATAACTTTAAATATACATTTGTATGTTTATGATGTATGTACTTATGTACATACAGTAGCGAAAACGGTCAGCGGTGACATCGTCACTTATGAGGATTTAGTGACATTGTACTCCTTTAAATATTATGAATGCCATCAATGGTCATGGCAGCACAATGTAATGCCAAATTACCATTTCAATGAAAAAGTCATGAAAGACGTACAAGACGCTTAAGTTACTACTGCATGCCCTTCGCTACGGGGTGTACATACAAACATATCTGTGTTCGTATGGAAAAGTAGCTTATGTCGAAAGGCTGGCTTTAGTATAATGCGGCATTCCCTTTATTCCTTAAACGACAAGGAATTTTTTGAAGAGACTTAATAAGAATGTTGACTTGCTAGTATCGGAACTATTTATCGCAAGTTTATTTGCCAAAAGTTCTTCAACGGCTCAGCGCCAGTGAGTCATTCGCAATCATATGCTGCGAATGCCGATTTATACTAAAGCCAGCCTTTCGACATAAGCTACTTTTCCATATGAACACAGATATACAGGGTATCCTAGACCGCCCATCGCCTCTTATAAAATGAGGGTGAATGTTTTCTATTGCAAAACGCAAAAACGTCAACTGCCAAGACGGAGATGCTACGGAGGGTATACATGTTTTTACTATAGATTCTGATTCTGCGGACAGAAATACATAACTTTTGTTTAAACATTTTCGCTGGAATGCACTACCGGTTAAAATAATGCCCTTCCAGTCAGTTAACCCACTTCCGGCCGAAACTGCAAGTCGGCAGTAAGGCTAACAGAGAGAAATTCCCGTCTTGGCAGTTTATATTTTGCGTTTTCCAATAACAGACGTTTTCCCCAATTTTAGAACAGGTGGACGGGTAGTCTACGACATCCTGTATGCAAACATTTAAATACGCATACTTTCGAGTGACCATCGAGTCGTTGAGAAACGCCATTTGTGCTGAGTGTGGAAAAAACTTAATTTCTCCACTTGATCCACTCTTGGTACCGAATTCCCTCCACTTACTATATCGATACCTTAGGGAACTCCATCGCTTGCCTATGGCCTTTATGTTTTCTTGAGAT